ATATACCTATATATGTGCGTATATATATGTATACACTATATATACTCTTTACATATAAATACACAGTATGTATGTAGATATCAAGAACGTTATTAATATGATTACGATACGCGTATGAATCATAGTCGGATCACGCGACTGCCTTGAATTAAATATTTCCCGTAAATATTTATTAATATTAACTACCAGCTTAACACATCTAATAAATATATATATACATATACATATTTGTAGAATATTGTAGCAACGTACTCTATTTATATGTCATATCGTACGTCATTCAGCTTATATATGCTATTAAAACGTTTCTTTGTTTGAGCTCGTGAGACGACACAGCTGTGGTAGAGGGCGGGGCTGATATTCTTAGTATGTTTCGAGTAGCAGCGGCACAAGCTCCTTGACAAACCACTCCTTGGATACGGCCAGATGATCACCCTCAACGCTGAGGAGGTGCAGCTTCTTGCATTTATGCATTAGCTCCAAGCCAACCTGTAGGCAAATTAGCAATTTGATAATGCACTTTATATGCGGGTTAATAATATAGCTTACATTTTTGAAGACTTTGCTCTCGTTGAGCGGCAGTATGTGCTTGTCCTGGCCAGGTGCATAGAACTCGAACCACTGCGACTCCTTGGGCTGCACAATGGTGTCATTGAGGAACTTGACCATTACAAACCTGCAATGCAGTTATTCGAGTCAGCAAAAGTCCAATAGAAACTCGATCTCTGTGCTTACTTCTTTAGCTTGTTTAGATTCTCTGCGTAGCGTTCATTTATGTACAGTTCATTGTTGATGTCCGCCAGGAAGCTGCTCTTCAGTCGATAGCTGTTCTCGTGAAGCGGATCATGCCAGTATGTGGCCTGCACCAGTTCGTTCTGGACCCAGCTGAGAAAAGAGCCTACATCAGAGTCAATGCAATAATGGCTACTCATAGCACTTACTCCTCGTAGGCCGCATAGTTGAGCAGTTTGGTAATATATTCGCAGCTGCTGACGCTAAGCGTGGGACACTTTGGCAATCCGTAGATGCCCTGATGCTGGCCGCCCAGGCTGATGAGCACCCGCATTGGCGGATTGGGACAACGCTGGGCTACCGCTCGTCTGTGAAGAACTATTTGTTAGCATATTTCTGTCAACGGAATTAAATTCAATTCAACATACAAAAATTGGCCGCCCTGGGAAAAGCCAATGGCATTGTAGCCATTGGCCAGCTTTTTATCCTCAGCCAGCTGTTTGCATACGTAGTCCACCTGCTTGTTCGGATGTATAAAGAAGCCACTCTCATAGTCCAAAACAATGTTTGCACCTATTTCCAAGGATCGCACATAGGTGCCGTTGGTATGCTCCTCGATTAGTTTCTTAATAGAGCCCATACTGAATGGAAAACAACAAGTGTCACCCATTCCGTGCCATAGTACGACGGGTAGAACAGTGCCATTGCTGCTCCTGTTGTCACTGTCGTGGCAATCTGGATGGGTAGCTTGGCCCAACTGCAGAAAGCTTACAAAGTAAGCTGCATAAAGCAGTAAAAACATTTTGCTATTAAAACTGGTGATATTTTACTTTGGAATTCACCGGCTGTGTACAAATTACAAATTTGGAATTCGCGGGGCTGCCAGACTGACGGACAAACCGCTGTTGGAGACAAATAACCTGTCTGCACTTTGTATACAAACACTAATTAATAGGCAGGGCTGCCAGATCATACTCAAAACAGCTGACCCAGATAAATAGTTTGTCATCTGGGCTGCCAGAGTAAATAAAAACAGCTGGCTCACGTTACCATGTTTACTACGTCAACAGCTGATTGCGCTGAAAATGGCCGTTAGGGATTTAAATAGATTTAAAATCATGCCGAAGCTTATGTGGAAATGTACATATGTACATGCATATATGTATGTGGATTTCTACTTGATAAAACTAGCAAAATATGTAATAAAAATGTTTTTAATATTGTTGCTTTTTTTCCAAAATGGTACAAATAACAAGATTTTATTTAAAGGCATTGTCCTTCGTGAAGAACACACCAGTGTGGCAAGACAGCATCTGGATGGATGCCGCGTGCTATAAGTCGCTCCCGATACCTATAGAATCGACGCTCAGCCAAGTAGGCCGATGACTTGGGATTCGACCAAAGGCGTTCAGCGGCGCCACCCGCTCTTGGCCAGATGCGAGCCTCTGCAAATGGAAATTGTTAGTTGAGGTAGAGCACATTTTAACTAAAACTTACCCAAAGAATTTTGATCCACATACTCGCTCCACATGCACACCTCACCACCCAGCACTTGCCGCTTCTGATTGTTGGGTGCGTCAATTGGTAGCGCATTGTCGTAAACCTTGCGCCAGTTATAGTATTGTGTATTGCCCCAGAAACCGTGATCCAAATACCAAGCATCTTTCGTGGAGATTAGGATGCGATAGCCCTTTCGGAGCAGCTCCCTATTGAGCGGGCTCTGAGCAGCCACCCAGGTTTGTATGATGAAACGCTCCTTGGGCAGCATCTGTTCAATGTTCTCGGGATCGGTCAGTTTACTGGACCAGAGTATGACTGGTTTTGGTTCCCTGACGCTGGGATACATCTGGAGATTAATATCGTCCCAGGCCTTTACGTTGCGCTGATGGAACTGCGACCAGAGGCGCAAGAAGCTCTCCTGGCTTAGATCGTAGCCCCTGGCCTTCATTTGGGTGGTAATCTCTTCGGTTCGGTTCCAGCAGGGTATGAACACTTCGTCGCCGCCCATGTGTATGGTCTCTTCGGGTGCACCCAGCTCGGCGATATCTGCAAATATTTCTTTAAGCACCGCATACATGTGATCGTTGATTGGATTCAGCTGGCCACATGGCGGCTGGACACAGTAGTTGCGCCAGGGCGATTGGTTCAGGCAGACGGACATGTTGCCCAGCCCGGCTGCGGGACCCCACTGCCAGCCGCTGCCGGCGTGCGAGGGTCCGTCAATCTCCATGATGATGCGAATGCCTCGCAAACGGGCATACTTCACCAGATTAAGGGCATCCGTATGGGAGTATGTCTGAGCTTTCGAGTATGCGCCATAGCGTTGCATTTCCGGCACGCGTGTTATTTCCAGCGGAAAGCTGTGCGTGTCCACCACATGCCAGTGCAGCACATTCATCTTGGAGGCAGCCATTGCATCCAGGGTGTTGCGAATATAGCGCAAGGGCAAAAAGTTGCGGGAGGTGTCCAGCAGCAGGCCCCGATGTGGATAGACGGGCTGATCGGTGACCCGAGCGGAGCTCACCAATAGCAGTCCGTTCGTCACACTTCCCGTTACTAGATTGCTGAGCGTCTCGAATGCGAACCGCGCGCCGTAGACTGTCGCCGCCTTGATGTCCACAAAGCTGACTTTATCGGTGGTGCGCACCACTATCATATAGCTCTCGTCTGTTTTCCAATCCAGCACCAGGCTGCTGTCGGTCACCGTCGCCTTGACCAGCACCTCCTTGCTGGCGGCCAGCGTGCAGTTGCGGATGCACTCCTTGAGCAGGTTGCTCACAAACAAGCGATTCGTCTCGCGCAGAAACTGCGTGGTCACCTCGTTGGGGGCCACCACATTGAAGCGCACCTTCCACGGATCGAAGGGCACACGGTCATGCGACAGGCTGCATTCACCGGTCGGCATTGGCCAAATGGCTCCGTATTTGCCACAGGACAGACGGCAATCCAGCTGACTCTCATACCGATGTCTGGGCTGTTCATGCCCTTCGCCCGGCAGCAGGCGCTCCTCTGGCAGACAAAGATCTGTCGAGTCGCAGAACCATTTGCTGTAATCATTTGAAATCATCAGTAGGACGAGCCAAGTGCTGAGTGCTTGACATGGAGATGCCCTAGTCCCCCCATCAAATACCTAGTCCGCATGCATTATGCATCTATTTCATACTTCCGCTTCTTTATAGCTCATAGATCTCACACATTTGCTTTGTTAAATATGCGAGCTTTAGCTTTAGGTTTGTCAATTGTTTGTACTCTGGACTACAAAAATCAAGAGTCAAAAGTCTTATACGGTAAAGCGTCCATATGTACATGAATATATCTACATATAGATTGATTATATCATTTAAGTTTCTATGTGAAGCAGAGCACACGCAATGCTTGTGATTTCGAAATCTATTAGCAATATTTTCCTATTAATCTTCTCCTAATCATAATATTCTGGGTTAAAGGTAGGCAAGTTTCATATATTTTAACTGTCAATTTATAATTTTTTTTTGTTTGAGTGTGCCTATATTAAGCTAAATGTTTCTTTTTTCAGTTCGCTCAGATAATAAGTGCGATAGATATTTTGTTGATACATATTTTTCTCTGTATTGTTGTTGTTTTTTTTTTCTTTAATATGACAATTATTATTATTAATAAATATTTGTACAATGCATATGCATTCACTACAGAACTTGCTTCGGCTTTTAACATGATCATGTATCATACATACGCACATGTCTGTTAATCATTTCAAATTTCAAATTGGCAGCACTGTTTTTTTTTTTTTTTTTTTTTTTTGCAAACCTTCTAGTGGTGGGACCGCTTTCGCCGCTGTCATCGGGCACTGAGCCTGCTGCAGCTGCTGCCACACAAAGTAACAGCGTCAGATAACAGCGATTGCAGCTGTTAAGAATCATGTTGTGCCGCCTTTCTTTTGCACTAAGGATAAGAACACAGAAAACAAAACAAAACAAAACAAAAAATTGAAATGCAAAAAATTAATTCACAGCGCCAATGAGCAAACCATGCAAATGGGCGCAATGCCAAAACCGAACTGAAACTAAATTAAATGCTGAAAAGACTTGGTTATCAGCGGAGCTTATTGTTGTCCCATTGATTCTGGCAGCGGACGCTGGCGTCGGAGTCGGCGTCGGCGTCGGCGTCGCCGCTCAAGCGTTGCGCTGCGCTTTGCTTTGCTTGGCTTTGCTTTGCCATAGGCAGAGCCAAAGGGCGATGTTGTGTTGTTGCTGTTATTGCTATTGTCATTTTCACTGTTATGCTTTGCACTTCAGTGCGGCGAAATGGGGCTTAGAGTGTGGGCGGCAGGGGTTGGGCATGGTCAGGGGCAGGGGCAGGGGCAGGGGCATGAACATGAGCATGGGTATGCGAGGTGTGTATATTGGCGTTTGAGCAACGCTTCTGCAGCTGCAGCTGTCCCGCTGTCATATGGGGCAAACACAAATGGGGCCGACCTGATAAAAATAAAAACAAAAACAAGAGAATGACAGCGACCCGCGGGCTGAATAAAGAATAAAAATCAAATCAAATAATGTAAAGTTTTTCAAACCTACAACGAGATACGAATGCTCTTTTTTTCCTAGTTTGTATTATAGATTTTATGATATTAACACAAGAAATTGAGTTAGAAAATCTTGAGAAATGTGAAAAAGACATGTTATGAAGTTATTGGAAGTTTTAACTATTTCAATTGGAGGTCTTCAAAAGTGAATGTTAACACACAGATATCGAATATGCACATAGAACATGATATCATATAAGATGATATTTGATATACATACATATACTATATAGAATATATTTTAGAAGACTTTTCATACAGCTCAATTTTTCTCTAATAAATCTAACATTTTTAGTATTTTGAAATAATAATTGATTAAA